GATAATGCCATACAAATAGGTAAGAATATACAAGGCAATATCCAAACACGGCTATGCTTTTACTATTCAAATAATTATCAGTAAAGGGATAAGCACATCCTTTTTTGTGCAAAGCCTGAAAAAATGAGCTTTGTGTAGGGAATTCAAAGAGACTTGAAGGGAAATATATTCCCCTGTTAATCATTCAGCTTGGAGTGCAGTGACTGCTGAGCAGCCCTGCTGCCAGTTGTACAGCCTTTCAGTTGTAGTAATTACTACGTGGTGTTAGATTCATGAGTCTGTATAGCTCTAGCTTTGTTGGTCATGTCCCTGTCTTGCACCATTCCACTAAATTTTCCCTAGTCCAACCACATACAGAAAGGACTACGACACTACAGCATGTACGAATACACTGTCTATCTCCCAGTTTACACCCCACCCTTCCCCTTTTATCTCACAGCTAGCTGTGTCCAATGCCTAGCAAGGCATTTCCCTTGAAGATGTCATCATGAGCTAGCATACCTTAGCTATGGAAACTGTATGTATGATAAAAACACTGTACAAGTGAATAAATATTACCTCAGCAACATGAACTTCATTGCTTTGATAATTTAAGAAAAGTTATTTATTTTTGAAGAGATGGGCTCTGTATATTTTTAAAAGGCAAAGTTTACATCCATAGCCTGAAAGCTTTGGTCTGTTTTTCAGCATAGTATATAAATGGTTTACGGATTCATCAAAACTGATTAGTTTATTTTCTCTATCACAGATTATTTTTCATAACATTTTTTGTCATATCTGTGACCCATTCTTGTTATGATGGATGCATCTGGTGCCTTAAAATCATGATTTTCTTGATCAGTAGGGAAACCCACTGAACCCTATCAGATGGAATATCACCTCATCCCCGGTAGCCTTATGTTTGAAGAGCATAACCCATCCTCAGATAGCTACACATGAGTCTAGCATATATCAATGAAATTAAACAATTGTTACTCAGGAGAAGACTATGAATAATACAGTATGTGACTGGAGTTACAAACTTTTGCCTGGATAATTTCAAATGGCTACTGAAACATTAACCCAATCACATGGTTAGAGATTTGAATGAAAATCCAGTGACTTTGTCCTTTCTGAGGAATGGAATTCCTAGAAAAGGTGTCTGTCCTTGCTAGTTTTGTTCTCTCTTAAAATGAGAGGTATAGATAATGTAAATGGGTGAATGTCAAGTAAAATCCATGTTCAATTTGCATACAGTGAGACTGCATATATTCTATAATTTTATACCAAACGTTAGAGTTTAGAATGCCATCCAGTCGATGCACACAAATAAATCACTGCGCATATCTGTGGCCCTTGAAACACATTTTTCTGCATTTTATTTAGAGACAGGGAGGCCAATGTTATACAAAGTGGAAGAAACAACTAAATGTATTTGTTCTCTTCTGCAGGAAAATTGAAGACACTTATATTAACGGATTAGGCAAAACTAGGAGTAAACCCCTGTCAAAAGTATCAACAATTTTCACTTTTACCATTTGCCCCTTAGACAAATCTGCCAGTCGCTTATATATTCCTCTATATGATCTTAGAGAAAAATTAAATGTACTACTTCACGTTTCATTTTTAACAGTTAATTGCTGCATAAACATGTAGCATAGAGAAACACAGATATTCTATAAAACTAAAATGGTTGTAAAACCTTTAGTTGCTTCTTTATTTACATTCCTTATGCAGATACATCTGGAAGACCTATTCTAAATAGCGTCTTCCTAAAGGAAAGTAAAGTTAAATTTGCCTAAAGAGGGCCTGAACCAGAAGTTTTAATTTCCCATCACTTTGAAGGTAACAGAACTGACATTTATTGCTGGGTCATATTGAACTAAAGCCTCACCTCTGGATAACTAAAGACTGTTCAGCAGATGTATGCTTTAAGAACAATCCCTTGAGTCTTCTATTGCATACTGTGTTGTCTGTTTAGATGATAAACTCCTGGAAAGGCTTGGACCAGCATGTTTTTCTATGTTTTGTGCAGCTCTATTATTTACAGTTTTTAAAATGATAATCATGATTAATCCACAAATAAACTATCCTAAGGAAGCCAATATCGCTTGCCCTGCAAGAGTAGTGCCTCGACTGTGGCATAAATACAATCTGTTCCCCACTATTTACAGTACCTATTATGGTTCCCCAGGGAGCCATGCATCCAAGCCCTAATTCATGGGTCACTCAGGAGAGATGAGCACTGACTTTACTGGACTGTGAATTAGGCCACTGATACACAACACCCCTAAGCCTGCAGCCTGATGTTATATATACACCTCTGTACTGCCCACACTATCTAGCTATGCTATAAGGCCCCACTGAACCATTGAGCAAACCCTTGCAACCTCCTGACCAAAATGATCTGCAGAATCGACCAAAGTGCTACACTTCTCAATAGGACTGGATGTCCATTAACATGCTTTTTTTAATTTTAGTTATTGCTCCATGTGTACTTGTAGAAAAAAAACTAGCTCTGTATGTCATGTCATGCAAACTCTGCGTCATGTAATATTGAAAACCAACATGGAGCAACGTTTCATGAACTATCAAATGATATCACAGTAATGCAATTTTCCCTGCCTATTGCTTTCATAAGAATCCACCATTGAAACAACGGTGACTTTTTCATTTTAAAAAAAAAAGAAAAAAAAGATCTAAGTTATGTAACATTTCTGGTACAAATATAAAACTTAACTTTGAGGATGTCAGTCTTGTTTTTATACTAAATTTGATTATATAAAAGGACTTTTGACAACAGAGAGCAAGCATGTGTGCCTGTAGGCAGTGCACTAATGAATTACATGATCACTGCTGTAACACTCTGGACATTAATTTATAACCAAGCCATAAGACTTCAAAGTAATCTGCGAGATTATTTTTGAAAAGTGAATGGCATAGGCAAGTATCATCTCTTGCTAAATATATATGGCTCCTGTCCTTTGGAATTTATACGTATGCAATATGATTTTTAAATAATTTTAATGGCAAAGTGGCAAACCAGCTCCATCACGTAACTGTCTGGTGCAAGCATTCCATCTCTCAAGCCTTCCCTGGGTAATGAGCTGCCTCCCCATTTGTGCTTAAAAGGACATGCAAGCATAGACAAAAACAAATCTGAAGGGAGACAAGAAAGGGAAAAAAGCTTGCCAAAGGAGATGCACATAATATACATTGTATTGGGTATTTAGACGGTCTGTTTTCTATTTGGCAGGGCCAAAGCTGTTCTCTTTTTCCATGCTCTGTACAGCTCCAAATGTGATTTCTAATGTTTAGTAATTACAATTGTGATAAATTCTGTAGATAAAATCTCCTAGAGAAATCCAACACAACTTGCCCTGCTGGAGCAGGACACTAGCCTTCCACATATCTCTAGCTGTGGATTCAATTCTGAACTAATGTCATATATGAAAATAAAATTATTAAGAGTCTAATTCTCACCCCTAAGGTTCCACTTGACAAAATACTACATACCTTTACTCATGAATTATAGAGAAGCATAGTTATTAAAATAGATACTGAGTACCTGACAGATCTACCTAAGTCTCCACAATACTTAAAGACATAATACAGCTGTTTTAAGCAATCAAAAAACTAATAAAAAATTTTATGTATATATATATATATGCATATATATGTATATATATAATTTGAAAAAATAAAAAATAATAAAAAACTCTTTTCCAAAGTAGTCAAATCCATTCACACTATATGTTGGTATATACATTCACACAAAAGGAATTTTCAAGTGAGCAAAGGCAAACTGCTCTCATGTTGCACTGAACTATGACTCATGAACACTTCCAACAGTACACATTCACTTGTTTTATCTCTTAGATACAAAGGAACTCATTCTAGCCCAGAACTTAAACAAATGCTTAATACCCAGCTAGGCTGTTCTAATACAGTCAAGAAAACAACAATTTACTGGGTGTCATGTTTGAGCTCCGTAATATTCACATTCTAAAAAAGTTAACAAAGTTATAAACATCATTTACCAATAACTGTAACTATATTTTCAGTTTTAAGACCTTCCTCAACAGGAATAGTCTATAAGCTCCAGACAGGTCAAAAAAATTGATATTAAATTTTATCTTTTAATGGTTTATATCTATTCGACAAACACCAAGAATTCAAGGTTCAGAATGTGCCTTGTTTCCCATTGAACAAGAAAAGGTGAACACAGGGGTCTCTAAAGCTACACTTTAATTCTCTAGAATCAGCTCTACACCCTTGGCCCTACAATATGACCCTAAAGCTGCTTTATATAATAAAATAAGGATTCCCAAGCATCATCCAGCAATGTCAGCTTGTCTCTGGGATGAAGGAAGAGTCAGCTGGGAGCACGAAGGAAACAATCTAGCAGCGGATAAAGGATATGGGCCTGCTTATTTCAGCCAGTCTAACAGTCTCTACGTGACCAGTTTAACTGGCTTTAAAAATGGAATAACTGGAACTCCTTGCCTTATATAGTGCTCCCGTTCAGGTCTTGACTCCTTCCCAGATCAAAACAAGCATATATCTGACACACAGTTGTATCTGTCAATCTCCCACTTAATAAATGAGCATGGAAAGGTCCAGTCTGAGGAATTACTTTAAAAAAAAAAAAAGGCATTCCAACCATAGACCTTCCAACCACATTCTAGCTTACTTCATGGAGTGTGACAAAATCAAAAGAAAAGGAGAGGAAACAGATGCATGACATAAGACTGCATAAAAACAGAGAGATGTAAATAGGCACATTAAAAGCTTTATCTTGCTGTTCTCTTATTCTAATGATTTTGTTCAATTCTATTAACTAGCCTAATCTTCAATAAAAGATTAATAAAATCTTTAATAAAATGGAACCACATGCTATTGATTCCAGGCAAAGCTCAGAGATTTCTACAGAGGCATCTACATAAAAATATACACGAGGCACTTAACTATAATCTTAACTATAATCTGTTGAATGAATATTCATTGAGAAATGTAAATACCTGTTGTCTCCAAAGTCAGGATCCTTGGTTTTAGCATCACTGTCATAAACAAAACGTTCTTGGGCGATAACTATGATATTGTCTGTAGTTTCGTTTCCGAAGATAGTAATAACAGGATAACCCATCTGCAGTGTCCACTGATCCATTACTTCTTGGATATTTACAAATTTTCCAACCTTTTTTAAAGCCTACAAGAAAAAAGAACATTTTTAATATGCTGAAACAATACTACTATCTAGTGTGTAAAACAATAAACTTTTTCGTCACAGAAGACCCTAATTAGTTTTAGAGATTTAAATAACCATCGTGCACACATAAACACACATCTTTACACCCAGTATCTACACACACTACATAATTACACCGATAGTCTCTACATATCTTAAAAATAAACAAGGAGGAATCTTACCAGAGAGGAGAGGACAATCAGAAAGTCATGTTTTCCACATCATTCAGGCATTTTTGGCATAACAGAAGAAACAACCTGCGTTACAGGTTGCTTGCAAGAGCCACAGAAACACAGGGCTGCTATTTCCAGCAGGTATTCTTGACCAGTGAATGTTAAAAAAAGACATGTTTTCAGCTGTGTTACTTGATGCAGGGTACTTAAAATAAGGTATATTCAAAGGGCCTGATTTTTAAAAGTACTGAGTTTCTCTGGTCTGAAAATCAAATAACTACTTATTTGAAAATACTGTTTATCATGTCCAGAGTGAGGCCATTTATACAAAGATATCCCCAGCTCCTTCAAAAGCTGCAGCTCTTGCAGCTTGTGTTCGTATTTCATATAGTGTGTCAATAAAAATGCTATTATTATAGCATTTATTTCAGCTGAAACAAGAAGAGCAGAAGAGACTAGGTATGAGGAGAATGACAGATACTGTTTCCTCTTCAGTGAAGGAAATGTCTCTGACTGCTAAGCAGGCCTGGAGCACAGACTGAGCCACCCTTGGTGAATGCCAGCAGGACACATCAAGAAGCCTTCAGAACTGAAGCTCCAATTGTAATGCATTAGAAATGAAGAGGTTGGCAATAAAGGTGTTTATAGGTGAAGGAAATGCAATTTTAAGCCTTAACAATAGGTCTGAACATGCAGTATAGCCCTCTCGGTTATGTCCCAGGATATAGTTTCATTTTTGTGCCTTTACACTATGCTGCGGGTTCTGCTGTTCTTTGAACAGTATGTTCATGCCTCTGACCTGTAATCACCAAGAGCTGTCCCAAAGGCTTTAGCAGAGGAAGACACCAGGTCAGAAGCAAGAAGCAAGAAAGACTTTTGCAGTGGCATTCAACTTCCGATTAAGACTTTAAGAGCCTCAACGTATGTCACATGTCTAAATTCTCATTAACAGCGCAGACCTTAAGCTCAGTTCAGCTGCCCATACATAGATGGCTAATGCCATTTGACCATGACCTGCCACTCCAGAAGGGCACAGATTTCCCCACAAACCTTGTGTCACATCTACTAGCCCTATCTAAATGTCTTGGACACCCTACAGTGCCTAAGCTGGCACTAGTTGCCTATATTTGAGCAACTATGTCAAGCCCCTCATCAAGAGCTAGTGGTTCAGGTTAATCTTCGGAAATCACATAGTGGCTAGTGAATTGAATTGCTCCCTATGGTCTGCTGACTATATTCACTAAATTCATGGGACTGCAATTGTTCATGTTCATCTAGTGTCAACTGAGATGTCCTACATCCTCACAGAACTGATGGACCTATAGCAGTTGTGTGCTTATCTGTAGTGGCAGCTGGAAGCCAGGTGGAATAACTTAAGGCAAATGTTGGCCTTACAAATGGGCAACTGAATCCAGCCCTCACTGACAATAATTGGAGCTTAGATGATTAGCCTATCCAGAGATATCTGCATATCTAGATAAATGCAGGTATCTTAACCTCCAGCTGAATCTCAGCTTTGATGTCAACTAAATCTAATTGGTTAAAACTAGATTCCTGTGTCTGCTCATGGCTTGACCTTGTACTCATGCCCAGATACTCTGACTGTCCCCTGTACTGGCTTGTGCCCTGAGTGCCCAGACTAGTTCTCTAGGCAGGAAATTCAAGCACAGTTTACTCACTCTTACAAAAATTAACTCTGCCCTTACAGACCCCTAGACCCGGGTCTAGAACCTCAAGCCTGACTTGGGGATAGCAATCAATAGGACCATGGACATAGCAACCGTGATTCTCTGAAGCATGCCAAACGTTACAGTAAATAGTTACTTGTTTACACCAAACTTTAAAGCTTTACTAGTTTTGTCCTTCATACAAATTGTAACTCTATACACAATGACAAACCCACTCCAGGCAAATGCCAAAGCACAGCATTTTCACATGCTTTACAGCTTATGGGCCTCAGTCTGCTGCCACTAAAGTCAGAGATAGCAGATTCCATGAAATATCTTTTATTGCATATCAGTGGCAGAGTACAAATAAGGAAATATATTCTAACATAGCAAAGAATAGAAATAATAAGAAAAAATGGTTTAATATTGTCACTCTGTGAACTCAAATGGAATTTCTTTGCATCAATTTTTAAATTTCCTCTAGGGTCTGATGATTTCAACATGCACTATGCACTCCTAACCTCACCGAGAAAAGTACCACAGTGCATTCCTGCATCTCCCTCAGTGCAATAGACTAAAGCACTTTACCTTTGACAATGTGTTCCAGAGATCATTTCTGGCTGCATTGCCATACTTGTGAATGGTTAAATAATCCTGCAGAAATAAAATAAAAAACCAAATTGGTGTTACTATACACAAACCAAATAACTAGAGCTGTGAATCACTGCTATTATAAGTTAAATCACATTAATGTTTGCATTTGTCAGAAATCCAGAAATATAGAATATGTTCATCCTAAGGGAGTAAATAAACAGTTTCTTAAGCTAGTTTACAATGCAAAAATTGTTGCTAGGAATTTCATTTACAGCAGTCAATGTTCTTCCTTTTCTGAGTAAGTCACTCTATAAGCTAAATATTTTGAATCTACTTTTAAAATATTTGTGTAATGTTGAAAAGGCTTCTTAGGTAATTCTTGGCAATGAAAGCAGATGTTTCTGATACAAAGTTCTAGTCACTATTTTAACACATCATTCTGCCTCTGGTGTCAAAAATTTGCTTACTCTGATGATAGCTAGATTTGTTACAAAATATTTAACTGAGATATACTAATCTGCTATTGCCTGAACCATAAATATCTACCCAGCTTATATGTCAGAATATGTAATACTGGCAACTCAGGCCATAGCAGATTATCAGAAAAGTTCTCCACCACAGGAAGCAATGGAATATGTGTACAAGAAAAAGGGGTGACTGGAATGGGACTCTGTACTTTTGCACAAGCACATACATGTGTGGAGTCACTGTATACATGACTCAAGACTGGGACAGCTATAAACTGAATGCTTTTACTTACTCAGCCACAATGACTGAGTGTTCATTCTTCTCCTGTAGCAAGCGGAAAGATAATGCCTGATAAGCTACCATCATATTAAATTAACTTTCCAAATTAATAGTTTAAATATATCATCAGGTTAGGTGTGAGCCTTCCAGGCACAAAATGCTCCCACTTTTTAATGTCATCTGTAGGGACAGCACTATTAGATTCCTACCTTCCTACATCCCTAGAGAACAGCTCATTAAATTATGGAACTGAAATTCAGCAATGATCACTTGAATAACATACATTTGCAGCATTTTGACTGGAAGAATTAAGTAAAACACACACCCACCCACACACCCACCCACCCACACCAGAGGTTGTAAATTAATGGCTTCCCCTGCATTTGCATTTCCATCATCTTCACTTTACACAATGGTAGGAGACAACCCTAATTTACAGCACAATGCTGAAATCGGGACATATTTGCTGACTGTGTTATCTGTGCTTTGTGTGAAGTAGGATACTTTGGGAATAATTAGTATTTGGAAAGCAAATTTTCTGATATACAAATTGTAGCACCTGTGAAAGATTTAGCTTTTGTCAGCCAAATCACAGTACAACAGGCAGCAACTCCCATTTAATCACAGGCTAAGAAGGCTAAATGAGAACAGTGACTCTGTTAACTGTAGTGCCTAGTCTTAACAATGTCATGTGAATAACTTGGATGAAAGACAACATTATATAGGCTTCACCTATACCACACTGTGCTTCCATTTTGTCTAAAAATATAGAGTCATCTGAGGTACAGTGAAATATTCAATAGCTTTCAAAGCTACAGAAGTTGCATTGCAAATTAAAAAGCTAAAATAGGGACAAACAAAAGTAGGACAAGGTAATAAATAACAACAAATATACATATGCATTTTAAGTGGTCCTAGAAAATGCTGCATGTATCAGTTCTTCTGAGAGTTGTTCTCAGAATCACTACGCAACACAATAAAAAGGGTGAAACATTTGAGGATTTGCTACGTACAGCCAACAATCCTGTTTACTAGTCTGCCATTAGACAACAAATTTGGCTTTTATATTTTGCATTCAGAAAGACTGCAAAGAGATGAAATACTTCTGTTCTTTTATTCTGGTTTTTATGTCTCAATATACAGGTTGGTAGGCTTAGAAGTAGCTCGTCACTCACAATTAAAAATTTATTATCTTCCAATCTAACATGTTTATCATATGAGGAAAATAAAAAGAATCATAGCATTTACAATGAATAAGAAAATACAATGATAAAAACAACATAAACGTAGAGTCCTGGTACCATGCAATTCTATTGTACTTTTTCATTATCTCAAAACTGCATTGAGACCATATACACAGCCTCAAGCTAGGAGTATTACCTAATCTATGTTGCCCTAAAAGCAGCCCTGAATGACAGTGTGCATGAAAATATGCTTCCAGTGGTAAATCTGCATTACAATCCAAAATCTGAGCGCAGTTTATACAGGCACAAGAACATAAAGTTGCTGTACCAGGTTCCATCAAAATTCACATATACCAGTAGTGGATGTTCAACAGTAATCGTTAGCAAACACCTAGAAAGAGTATAAAACAGGGCAAGCATATAATGGTACTTCTCCAGTACACTGCCCCAGCATCTGGCATTTCATGGCCCAAGGAATCCTGAGAAGGTTAGTATCTTTATAGTTATATTCTGTGGATTTGGCCAGTTGGTTTCTGAACCCATTTAGGTGCTTGACCTTTGCAACAGCTTATAACAAAGCATTCCCTACTTCAGCAACCCATCGTGTGAAGGTGCCTTTATTTGTTTCAATCATCTGCCAGTCTACTGGTGTCATTTGCTGTACCTTAGTTTTGGTACTCGAAGAGACAGGGAAGTATTGTTCGCTACTCCACTCTTTCCAGGCCCATGTGTGCTGTTACAAGTCTTTACTATAGGTGCCTTCATACCAGAGCATGCTTTCAGATTGAGGATACCACCAGACCTAACCACTCCCCTTTGTGCTGCAAGGTTACATTTTGCATCCGAGCTAATGACTTTAAAGCTAGGTAGGGTTACAGTGACCCAAGGCGCACTTCCACTTCCAAATTGCAACCTAGGCAGCCTGTCTTGCAGTGCTTTTCATGAACTGGTCCTCAACTTAAAAAAGAGGAGGAAAGGCTTGTTCATATCAGTATCAAATACAATCCAAGGAGTATTAAAGTAGGAGCCAAAGATCTATCCATACTCCATTTGTCAATTCTAAGGATGGAACAAGCAGGGACATAACACATTTTTCCTCCTGAGGACCCACATCTAAGTCTAAGTAGCTTGCAAAGGGGCAGAAGAGAAGTTCTGGTTCACTGTTTTTCTGCTGAGTCATTATATCAGCCACCCCTTTGACTTTACACTGAAAAGAGAAGAGGTAAAGCAAAGAGAAAAGAAAAGTAAGCTGCAGAACACAAAAGGAAGATGACATGGAAAACACAGCTGCCTGAATCTAAGCTGCACTCAGCTCAGCTTCAAAGAAGCTGAAGTGACTTAAAGCAGCTTTCTCATAAACACATATGCCTAGAACCACCTGGCTGCCAGGCTTTTTCTCATCATAAAGTTGCAAGTCTATCACCTATAAAACTGTTCCATCAACTGCAGTATGCTGGAGCACCAAGATATGACTCAGCCACTTCCCCGACTGTCAAATGTCAGGAGAAAAGATGGCATGAAAACTTCTTTAACAACCTAAGATTCAAGAGGGCTCTTCTACAACAGCCCCTTTCTCCCCTTCATTGCAATGTTGTCTTTGAGTTTCTTCTTTGCCATGGGGACAGTAAGAAAGAAGCCCACAGACCGTGACCCAAAGTGTCACTCAATATGAAAATTAATCAAATCCACCAAAAAAATGATCATATGGTTTTAGGTTTTCAGCATGCCTCTTCCTGTAACTATTCTTCCTAACATCTTGGCATCAAAACATGAAGCCACTCTTTGGCAAAAAGAATAATGGAATGTGGTCTCTTCACCTCTATCAGTAATAAAATCAGTAATCAGATAACACATTTTTGTGACATTTGTTTCAATAGTATCTAATTCCAAATACCAAGAAGAAATCCAAAAACTGTCATGCCATGAAAACAAAGTCCATGACTGTACAATAAAACCTAAGCTCTTGCAAAAAAAACACAACAGATTTAGACTATAATATAAAGCTCTGTCAAATAATAATCTCAATCTCTGAAGAAAATTAAAAGCCTTAATACTTTTGAAATTATTTTATTACTTGAATACTGAAGCAGATAGCCTGAACGGTAGTAGAAATAGGAGCACAGTGAAAAGTGTTAAGGGATTTTCAAATATGTTTTTACTAATACTGTATTGATTAAGGTTGCAAGCCCTTTATGGCATTAGACTTTTTTAAGAAAAGAAGATGACTTATAAAGAAGTCTTTATCCCTTTGCAATCTTAGCTCTCTCAGTACTGCTAGGGATTGAGCCTCTTGATTTAGAAAAAATGAACTACCCCACCATCCAAACATGATAACATTCATAACCAATATAAGGTGGTGACTCATAAATATAGAGAGGTTAAAAAGTGAAAGGTGAGAATAAGTCTCCAAACACGTATCACACTTGGAAGGGAGACTTCAAGTCTATAACTAGGAACTGAAAGAGCAATTCCAGGACAAAATTCCTTTCTTAGTTTATCTGTAAAAAGTTGATTGGTTGACTGAAGGGATGGCTCCCAACCACCATGAGTGGTGCTGAGATCTAAATCTGATCAACAGTTTAATAATTTCACTTTTTCTGCTAAAGATAACTGGGAAATTCTGCTATGTAGGATGAGTGAGGAGAAAGTAGCAAAATATTTCAGCACCAAACTCTGATGGCAGTGTTCCTCTGAATATATCCCTCTCATTTCTCAGGGCTCAGGAAACAGCTATCTTGCCTCTGCCTCAGTTTTTTGTCTTTCATTCCTCCTCCCTTCAGCCTAGAATATGTTCATGTCGAACAGTTTTACATATGACTGCTGTATCTGACTGTAGATTTAGAGCAGCCAATAAAAACATTCAATTCAGGTGGAAATCAGGCTCTAGGGCTCCAGCTATCAAACCCAGCAGGTTCATTCTCCCAGAAATTTGTATACTTAAGCTTTAGCACTAGACACAGTCTAATAGATGCTGATTATAACATGCCATCTTTTCCTCCCCTTTCCTTCAAACTGCCAGTATCAAAGTTGCTATCTCGTATTATCTTAACACCAACTAGCAATCAAATAAAAAAACCTGGACAAGGGTCAGAGGGAGAAAAGTGCTCCTAATAGGCTTTTGACGGTGAG